CTTGGTAGTATACATTAAAATGCAGTTTATAAATTGTTTTATTTTAGGTTGGATGGGACAAATCAACTGATGGGAAACGTCCGAGTCGATTTTCTATTTGGGAAATTGTGCCAGTTGTGACTCCTTTTTATATCTATCCACCTCTATTTTTCAGGCCCACGTTCTCTAGACCGATCCTGGAACCTAAATATGATTTTTTTAGACTTAAATAATTGAAATGAGTGAAAAAATAATATTATCATCAAATTATATATAGCATCCTTTTTAAAGAGAGTTATACCTTAACGTCTACAAATGACTTATCCCAATTACCATAAATAATTTCAAATGCACGTTTGCGCCCGAGAAATGTCTTTCTTTTAGTAATGGTACAGCCATATTCCTGATGGACGGATGTAGTGTACTCTTTGATCTTGTACTTTATGAACGCTTCAATGTGTGGAATCAGGACAAGAGAAATCAAGTCAACATCCAAGTTGAAGTGATTCCCACTGAAAGTGTCCATTTCACAAGTGTGGGTGCCAATGTATTTACCCACTTTCCACACACCTGTTTTCTTCTTGCTCGCACGCAGCATCTAATGACAACCCGTAAATCATCTACGGCAAATAACCTTGTATAAATCCGGAGTTGACTTCCATACCGTCATCTCACGACACTCTTTTACGCTGTATATTTTTGCCGCCCTGCTTAGGCGCGTTTTATCAGGAAAAAGCATACCCTTTTGTCAGCATCGTTGGTCTAGACTCATCCCATATTGCTGTCCGAATATTGTCAGTATCCCTTGTGAGGGCATTCATATCCGACAAACTTGGCAAATGATCAAGGTAGAGAATCTCCCTTGAATGAAACGGCACTTGGGACTCGTACACTCTTGGTCTAACGAGGGGTGGAGCATGCTCCCTTGTCAAATCAGGTCCAGCATTCTCTTCCTCTTCATCACCACCCTCGTCAGGTAAGGGTGTGTCATCTCCGGACTCATTGGCATTGTTGTCATAATCACTGTTCTCTTCTTAACTCTGTGCATCTGCCAGATCCCGATTAAATATGTCGTCTTCGGCCAATTGAGTCAGGACAAGAGGTTCAACTTGCTCGTTTTCACTGCACAAACAACAAAAAAATGAGCTACTCAAATTGATAAATACTTTACATATAGTTATATCACTTCACTTACAAGTCGTAATGTATTGACATCTCATGATAGACATTATCATGTTGGTGATGACTCCCGGATGGACCACCGTGATCCAACACACCAGAACTACGCATATTCCAACTTGGCGTGGGTTCATAACTTGTAAAATTCATATCTAGCCGGTACCCCCTGTGGAATATATGAGTGTTAATACAAATTCAATACAACAAAAATAAACATCGTAACACAAAGGAAAATTGAAGTTTACCTCTCGTCTTGTGGATTATGTAAAGTAGGAGAGAAATTATTTTCTCGCTCCTCATTCGCCCGTGGAGATAAGTTTAAACCAGGCCAAACTCTTTCAGTCGGAACCTGTTCGGCAAAAACTGCTCCAGAATAACCACCCGATGACTGAGGGTTATCCCTACTTTGCGCAACCTCATTATTGCGAACGTCTTCAACTTTCACGTACATTTTCAATATTTTTATCAAAAGAAATTCCCGGTATTCATCCGGAGTCCTCAAAAAATAACTCAAAGTTTCATCATCCTCGATGTTAANTAGAAAAAAAAATTAACAGGAGTTGAGAATATTTCTGAATGGATTTTTGTAAAATCCTTAACGCCTTTAAAAAAGGCAATGCCCAATCCGAGGGGTCGAATTTTTTGAGGTATAGCGCCCTTAAACGGCGCTATACCCATTTGAATTATTGTTATGTCAGTTAAGCGTAGAAGGGTTATTGGTGAGCCCACAAAATATGTATAGCGCCGTTTATAAAGGCATTATACCTGGCAGTCTTGTTAAAGTCATACCATAGCGCCTTTATAAAAGGCGTTATACATATAGCGCCCTTTAAAATGGCGCTATATATAGTTTGATCACAATGTTTTTTTTCACTCATTTCTGTTATTTGAGTTCAAAAAAATCACATTTAGGTTGCGAACTCTCTCTAGACAGCCAGGTTTTTTCTTGTCAGCTACTCAGCCTCGTCATCTCCTATACTGTTCCAAAAAGTCAAAAAGAACTAAAATGGAGTCCCTCTTTGAGGGATCACTCTTATTAAACGGGATTTCATTCTGAAGAAAAGAATAGATGTTCCTTGTCTTTTGTTTTAACGTGTTGCAAGTCCGAAGCATTATAAAATTGGTGAATGATGTCTCAAGATTGTGCATAAATTTAATCTCAATGGTGTAACTGTACTTACTACTTTCTAGCAGCACTCCAGCAACTTGTTATTCAAATGATTCATATTCCTCACAGCTGCAATAGTGATAGATTAGTCTACTGTAATTCTCCTCAAAATCCTCAAAGTGTTAGTAGGTGACGAGTGTGATGTAGAAAATGTTTGAAGGAGGGGGATGCCCTGGAGAGGTGATGAATTTAGTCTAAAAGACGTTACAAGCTCCTCAATATGCCCTAGTGTGAGCTTAGTACAATGGATGAGCAGGCAACAGAGCAATCATATGCCAGCTTCACAGTCAGGGTTACTTCCGAATGCCTTGCTCGGTAACTTTGGCACAGATGACCATTCTAAGTTGTTGAACTTTCAGTCACCTACATTTCCTGCACCAGCTCTCCATTTCAACCAAGTGAATCAATTAAATCAGCAAGATAGTCAAATCCAGCAGCCTTCTTTTGTGTGGCCTCGGCAGCAGTAATTGTTACACTCTACAGTAGGCATACAGCAACTGCAGCATCAGCAAGTGCAGCAACAACAACAGCAATTGACCATGAATTCGCTACCTGTAAATCATGGTGTGGCCTCAAACCAGACTCCAAATCAAAGTTTACGGCAAACAGCAATGTGCTCTCAGCTTCAGCAGCAACAACTACAAACTGCTAATAGCCTAGCAAAGCAAAATGGTCCCGGCAATAGAAATTCTTGTACAGCAAGTTGAACAGCAATCTAATCTCTTGTATAAATCCCAGCAGCAACAGACGGTATTGAAACAAGATCCTCTAGAAATGTTGAGGTAAAACTTAATGCGGAAGCCACAAGAGAAGCCATCATCACAGCAGAACCTTCCCGAGCAGCAGCTGCAACTACAGCGTCTTCAGATACTGCAACAGCAACCCCGGCTGTTATCACCTCTAAACTCTAGCTTGGAACCACAGTTTCACCAGAAACCGAACTTGCTATCACAAGGTCTTCAATTTTCTCTGCAGCACTTAAGTTCCACTAGCACGTCCAAGCATTTGCAGTCTCCTCAATATCCTGTTAACACACTCCAAGACGAGCAATTGCTGTCAAATCTGTTTCTGGTCCAACAGATGAGGATGCTCCTTCATGCTCGATCTCTCCTGCAAATAGTTTCCAGATCTTCCCTACAATCTTCCTGACTAGGAAACAGCAAGGGCAAGCCATAAAAGCAGAGGATTCAGTACTTCATCATTCTCAAGAGCTTCAATATAAATCTGAATTTCAGATAGAACATGAGTTACCAAGCTCAAAGGGTCCAGAGCATACTGAATACAGAAAAACGAGGCTCCGCGGGAAGAACTGTAGATGTCACTCAGGCATGCTCTGGCACGTATGTTTGGAATTGAGGGACAGTTAGAGGAGCCACAAAGAACTGATGGAAGCTTGTCTATGTAGATAACGAAAATGATATATTGCTTCTTGGGAGTAAGTATTGGTTGTTTTGGTTATACTATCTTAATTGCTTGTAATTATAATTTCCCAGGAGATTCATTTTTTGCTCCTGTTCGTTCATCAGCTGTGTTCAGAGCATCAAAATCATCTCTTCTGCTGAAGTGCAGCAAATGAGCTTGGATGAATATTTAGGTTAATTTTCCAGTACGAAACCAAGCCTAGAATGGTACTGACAGTGGTCATGAATGGAGAAGACACTGCGACAACAAGCCTGCTTCATCATGAAAGTGTTTTGGTTTCAGAAATTAGCTTGCAAATGCCTTTTCAACACGCAGCTATCAAAGGCAGATCAGCACCTTCGGCGAGTTAATCCTTGTGTTTAGGCAGTTTGCAGGAGTGAAAATTTGAAGTCTTGTCGTCTTTAATACTTGACATGAAATGCATAGCACGTTTAGGATATTGTGATCTGTACATATATCGCCACTACAATATAATGCGTAATAGCTTAGTTCTATTGCTCCTTTCTGGAATATTTACTCATATTTAATTGACGCGACGATCCAGTAATTCTTATTGTAAGATGTAAATCTCATTGTTTCTGTCAGATGAGGTTGAAAAGCAGTTCATGTCTATCAAATAGGTATCAATCTTTTAGTAATGCTGGCACAACCACACAATAGAACCACCGTAAAACTCAGGAAAACATGTACAGGTTTTTTTTTTTGGGGTACATAAACATGTACGGGTTTATGCATATGCAAAAGAATCCGTCGATATTTAAGTATTTCAAACATTTTAACTAAGTTATGTAATCGTTAAAGTAGGTGACAATTATTTCTTAAAAGATTTCCGCTCTCGTCCCTGCTATTACCTAGGACCTACTCAAGAAGATGCTAGTAACTTGGATGAAGGTTTGCAAACTCTTATGATTAAAATGCTTGATTTCGTGTAAAACTACGAACAAATAATTTACCATCAATGAACTCCTGTCACCGTTTGTCAAGATATAAGATCCAAAGATAATTTATTTTTTTTGGTTAAATTCCAAAGATAATTTATTGATCACCGACACCTTCCATAATGTCTTTTCTTAGTTTTACTATTTACTAGTCACGACTGATGATCAGAAATATTCTAATGTTAAAAAAAATTAATTTATGGACAGAAATCAATTTCCCTCGTATAACTGTCAGTAAAATTTGGGAAAACCTGGATTATTTAGAAACCATTATTGGCAATTGTCTTGATTCTTCCATGGGAATATCTGCAAACTAAAAAAATAAAATGTGCGCTTTTTTTAATTAATAAGTAGGGGTTCCGACCCTGAATAAAAGAAGAGGGGAAGAAAAGGGCACATATAATTAGATTTGAACACTGCATCACTTGGTTGCAGAATGTACTTCAAAAACTAGATACTACATTTGGCACTAATCATTTTTTAACTTGCAAAAATTCTACTCCACAATGTGAAGGCAACATTCTCCCGCGCTGTGAACGTCCATTGGAGCCTTTGGTATTGGAACGAATGGCTCAATCTATCTATGAAAGCACAGCCATTACATCAGATGCCCTCAGTGCAATGTACTCAGAACCATCAGCACCTTTGAATTCATTGCCAGCATATTTGGAGTATAGAACTGTATTTCCTGTGGATACTGATAGTGGTTTCCGGTTCCCTTCCTCGTCAAGTGGACCAGGACCTACAGCTATAACCTGAAATTTAAATTTGGAAAGTGTTCAGAACAAATCTCAACTAAAACAGGAATCACGGGCATAAGGATGCAAGTATAGATCATTGTAGCAAATTACTAGGTGTATCTTTTACCGTGCCAATGGAAGGCTTCTCCTTGGATGCTTCAGTTAATAATAAGCCTCCAGCAGTTTTTTCCTCAGCCTCGGCGACCTGAGTAAACAAACATAGTTAGCAATCTTACATCATCTAAAGGCTGCAGGAAATGAGAATGCTTGAAGACTTGAAGTAAAATATCCAGAGAAGAACATGAGGCCTAACCTTTATCAGAACTCTGTCATTCAAGGGCTGCAGATCCTTGATTTCATCTGTCTCGAGAATACCAACAATGTCATCCTCCTTCAAGATGAGGTGATTTGATCCATTGAACTCCACCTCTGTTCCCGCATATTTTGAGTAAACAACTTGGGTGCCAGTCTACACATAGTAAGATCGCTTGAGAAAACTGTCAATCATGGATAGAAGCCAACATTGAGCATATTACTCAATCATGATTATTACCTTCACACTAATGTCCACCTGATTCTTCCCAACTGAACGACCCTCCCCAACAGCAACAACCTCACCTCCTTGAGGTTTCGACTGTGCTGTTGTTGGAAGTAGGATACCACCTACGGTCTTTTCCTCTACAGTCTTAATCTTCACCAAAACTCTATCACCCAAAGGCTTAAGAGAAGTGTACTGCAAGAACAGCAGCAGAATGTCAGCAAGATCCAAAATTAAAATCCTTAATATGACCATCGGAATAGCTTAAATGACTACATCCAGTGAACCAATATAATTGTCTTGATATAATTATTACTTGCAACTAAGAGAATTACAGTTTCCTTAACAAAATGAACGATGGATATGATAGTATGATAACTGTGCAGAGAAACAAACACCCAATTTAAGATGAGATCCGTCTACACTTGATATGGATAAAAGGGTAAACACGGCGAAACGGGAAAAAAATCAAGAACACACTAGCTGATCACACCTAATTCCAAATGAAATCATCTTTGGACTTCAAATATGTTCATTCAAAACAACAATTATCAATTCGGGCAAGAGACATCTAAATTAGCAAAGAAAGCACAGTTCTTTCCTCATATTTCCACAAAGACCAGAAACCACAAAACACACCCAATAGTCAATAACCCAAATTACAAACATGTTACACAATTTTACCAGGCACACCAGACACTTTGTCAAACAGAGCATTTAGCAGAAAGCACGAAGTACTTTGCATAAGTATTACGACAACTCACAACAACGACAACTATAACCTTAATCCAAAACTGGCCACTAACTTTATATAAGAATTAAGGATGGAATTTGTATTTATTGAGAATAAATAAGATAATCAACATTCATGTTGAGAGCAACAAATGTTCTGCAACAATGGACTTTAAAATCTGACAGTGTACGTGTAACTTAGAAACCAATCCAAAGAGTAGTGGATATACCAAACAAACTACTACTGCCTAGTTATTCTGCTACACTTTTGTATGACACAAATAGACAACAGTAGGCTAAAAAGTCAACCATTTATTGGTAGACACAAATCTCAACACACCTTCTGAGCAACCCGATGATTTTTATATTTATTGAGAATAAATAAGATAACTGACATTCGTGTTAACAGCAACAAAAGTTCAGCAAAAACATGGACTTTAAATTTGACATGGTAACTCAGAAACCAATTTGGAGAGTAGTGGAAGTACCGAGCAATCCGCCTGGCTATCTGCTACACTTTTATATGGCATCATTACTTATTCAAAGATTCCAACACCTTATCTTACTATATATTATCAGGAGTTTAAGTTCTATGCATTGATGATGTAAAATGTTTATGCAATCATGTGGCAGGTAAATCTATTTGCTACGCATTTATCGCTAACCTAAGATAAATGGTAAGTCACCTGCAAAAATAGGTTAATTATGTGTAACAATTCATTCCACTAACTTGAATCCTATTTTCAATTATAAAAAAAAGGTGATTTATTATTTTTTAGGTAATTTTAAGTAAGTAAATATTACTATTAATAAGAAATCACTATCTGATTGAAACAAAATAGATGCATCAACTCTAGAACATAGAATACTATCAGAATAAACAAAGTAAAAGAATATATTTCAAGAATGGTGGAAAAAAAGAGAGAAGAAAGAAAATTAAAATACTTTGGGGGCTACAACAGTAGCAGCCTTGATAATAAGTCCACGAAAGGACCTGCTATTCTGCTTTAAAGATGCGACATTTACAGTAGTTGTGGACCTAAGCCCTTCAAAGGATGCAAAACCCTTGACAGAAATGGAGGATGCAGTTAGCTGAGTTGTTGCCATTCCTTTCTGAGCTGAATGGAAAAACCCAAGAATTGAAACAATTTATGTATGCTGAGCAACCAGAAGCGAAAGAGTAAAGTAAGGAGAAATCAAGAATTTGAATGGATGATAATGGAGGGAGTACCTGTGATAGGAAGGAATTGGGGGTGATGACAACGAAGAAAAGGATCTTCTACTAGGGACCGAGGAAGTGAGTGAGGACTGAGATGTGTGGTGAGGTTGTAGAAAATGGAGTAGATATTGGATAGCGAAACCCTAGAAGTCGCTAGAGGGGATTTGAGAGGGAGTTTTGTGCAAAGATAAGATGATTCTAGAACTTCCCAAGAACTCTTTATGTATGTGTGAACTAGTGAGGTTATGCCCGGGCTTATCCTGGGCCCAACGGCTACGTGATCAATTTGTGTCTAAAAGTATATCTTGATTTAATTGTCTCTCCGCCGATCCTCGTGGTAACACCAACTTGGTACCATTCAGAAATCTTTTTAAGTATGCTTTTATTTGACATACATTATTTATTATTGTCATTACAAAAGTAATTAGTATTTTTGTAATTAAAATGGAGGGCACAGCGGTACAAAGAGCCAAGCCATCAGAATCAGACCCGTAAAGGTCTCGTTTTTTTGTTACAAAGATAGTTATTTGTTTACCCTCAAAATCGGATAACAATTGAATTTATATTTGGTTTTAAGAATATGTGGATTAATTCAATACGAGTGATTAATAGCGTTAGATTAAACAAATAAAAACGTAATAGATGACCAAACCAATGATAAGGGTGATTCCGAGCTCGGTTGATGGCCCGATGAAGAACATGCCCTCGATTCCAAGCTTATACTTATGAAGAACTTAAGAACAAGAATAAGAACTTTGAACAACAAAGAGAATTGAAATAAATTGCCTTGATATGCGTGTTACAATGTGTCTTATGAGTAATAAGTTTTTCCCTTTATATAATAGGGGAGTTTTACCCTAAGTACAATTCTAAAAAAGGTAAAAATCTTTCGTTTTAAAAAATCACTGATTTTCTGCCGATACGGGACGAGATTCACGCCGTGATATCCGGTTAGGCACGAACATCATGGCCCTCTATTAGTCGTGTGTAGCTGTTTGGTAATGTTCTCTGAAGTCCCAACCCTCGAATCAGACCCTGATATCCCCGAGGACATGTGTTTTGCCCGAGCCCTGATACGATGGGTTCCCTGCTCTGTCTCTGATTCATAACGGCCATGTTCCTGCTCCGTTTGACTCACCGGAAAGTCGAGTCATGCAGTGGGCTTGGTTTTATCCGTATACAGATAGTCCCCTCATTTCTCAAAGAGTAGGCATGACGAAGCGATGGGAAACGACAGATGACTCTGGTTCCTTCCTTCGTACGCTACGACGGGTGAGCCGAAACATCCCATCAATCGCGTCGTTCTGACTTCAAACATGTGTCGCTCACAGGCAGGTTGCCTCCGAATGCGAAGCGTCGGCTGTTTCCCTATAAAAGCCTCTTTCCTTTGTCCTTTTTCTACTTTTCGACCAAACCGCTATCTTCGAGCTTTCCATCCATTATCAAAACCTTCTTCAAATCTTCATATCTTCATCCTTGTTCTTCCATCCCCATATCAATCTCCAGATTTCTGCCTAGATTTCCTTCAAATCTTCATACTTTGTTCTTTATCTTCAAAACCCGTTTTTCCAAAACTTTATGTTCATTTCTCAAATTTTCAAACACTCCCCCATATGAAAATGGCAAAAATATCGAAAATCGTTCCTCAACAAGTTGCCTCTTCATTTTCTCAACCGGCTGCTGGTACTGAAGCGATTAACCGTGAGGTGGTTGCCCTCGAAACGGCTTCCCCATTGTGGCTGCTAACGAACCGGCAATCGAGCCTCCCTTGTCAGCGTTCATCCCTGGGGGTTGCTCGATTGCAGATGACTTTAAAGTCGAGAAGCTTTCGCGCAAACAGGACCGGGGCGAAGGAGTCTCGAGATATATATGTTCTGTGACTGAAGACGTTCTTCCCATAGTTCGTAAGGACTGCGATTGGGAAGGCAAGAATGTAGTAGTCCCCGGGCCCGAGGACGTCGTTACTGCCATGTGGAGGGGTACTTAAGTGCTTACACTTATCCCTTCACGTTGGGCCCGATGGATCCGATAGTTCTAGATTTTTGTAAGAGGAACGAGGTGTGCCTCGGGCAAATCCACCCATCATTGTGGAGGATCGTGACCCTCCTCCGTTACTTCATGAACAAGACCGAATCTCGTCGGTTCACGATCGACCACCTGCTTCAATTATACAGTCCCCGGATATTTTGAGGGAGACTGATCAAGCTTACATGCCAGGCCAGCAAGGCCCCCTTCTCCAGTATCGACAAAGATCGAGATCGGGGATGGCAGGGATGCTTTGTCCGAGTGAAAACTGAGGATTTGATCTCCCCCCCCCCCCCCCCCGGAATACATGCCATTCGCTGAGAAATAGAATGCGTCTCGTAAGTGCAACTTCTTTTTTCAACATCAAAATTTCTTCTTCTTTCATTTCTATCTTTTCATTCATGTTTGTAGTTGTCCAGCTGTTGCCCAGGTTCCGAATGCGGTTCCCCGGGTAAAGGGGTGGATCGAGGGCATCTGTACTCAGATGTCCTACTTCGAGCGCACATGGCGCGGACTCTCGAAGGGTCCGTCCCGTAGCAACTGTAAAGTTGCATAATTCATTGAAACTATATGATACTTATGAGTTTTAGAAATGAGTTTCTGTAAATTGGGCGGAATGCCATGTTTGGGCCTTGTGCCAGTGCTATTTGGACCCTTAGGGGCCTTTTTCTTACTATCCTCTCACTGTTTTCGATTGAAAATCTATACTCAGTCATGGTTATACCTGTTTACTGCATATATCAGTTTTATTACCCTGTTTTGATACATATAAATGTTGTTTTGGGCTGAGTACCCTGTTTTTACTGAGAGCCCGAGTGGCTTGAGAGGTTTATGACTGAGTGAGGCCGAGGGTCTGATTTGTGAGGATATTTATGGGATCGGGCTGCACGCCGCAGCATGTTTGATATAGGCCGAGGGCCTGATTGATTTATGCCATGATTTGGCTTGATATAGCACTTGGGCTGAAGGAGCCCCTCGAGAGTCTGTAGACACCCCCAGTGAGCGCATGTACCTACTGAGTGCGAGTGTCGAGTGCCGAGTGCTGTGTGACTGGGAGGCATGAGTGATTGTGAGGTATGCCCAAGAGGCATGAGTGATTGTGAGGTATGCCCGAGAGGCATGAGTGATTGTGAGGTATGCTCGAGAGGCTGTATACGAGTGATTGTGAGGTATGCCCGATGGGCTGTATACGAGTGATGTTGCCCGAGGGGCTAATTATGATTTCATCATTTTTTTTTACCTTTGCATTGAGCCTTTGTTTGAAAAACTGTTAAAGAAAAAAAAAATATCTTTAAATGATTTGTACTGGAACTGGGTTTAAACGAGATGATTTGATTCAAACACTGTTTTTTTTAGCATGTTGTATTTTATCGAGATTTCATGATATGAACTTTATATGTTTTATTGCTCGTCACTACTACTCAGTCTTTATTTACTGTTGTTACCTACTGAGTTGGCGTACTCACGTTACTCCCTACACCTTGTGTGCAGATCCAGGTATAGCTAGACACGGTAGCGGCTGTTGATTATTCTAGTTGCACATTTTCTCGGGGATAGCAAGGTAGCTGCCTGGCGATCGCAGCCCTGCTCTTCTCCCTCTTATCTTCCTTTAGTTGTATTTAGCTATTTTTCAGACTATGTTAGTCTCGATATTGTCAGACAAATTGTAGTAGATGCCCATGACTAGTGACACTCCAATGTCGGGCTTTTCGTTTCCGCACTTTTATTTTGATTTAAACTCCTTTATGAAGGTTTTTATGTTAAATTGCCTTGAAATTTTCTTTGAAATGAAAATATCGGTTTGTTTTGGAAATGAGTCGGCTTGCCTAGTTCCACGATAGGAGCCATCACGACAGGGCTAGTTCGCGTCGTGACAATGGGCAAGCCATTGCCGAATTGACCACAACCATGACTCAACTAGCAAAGGCCCAGCTCAATCAAGTGCAAGCTCCTAAGAAAGTTCATGCTATGGAGGGAGTTAAGGTTTGGTGAACTAGAAGAGGACCAAGGGTCCACAAATGCAAACCTGAGTGGAGAACTATGTGCAAGATGATGACGGTTTTGATCAAGATGATTCTTATAATGATCAAGAAGAAGAAGTGAAATATGTGAATAATTTTCAAGGGCAAAGAAACAACTTCAAAGGCCCAAACCAACAACAATGGCGACCACAAGAACATGCAGTATTCAGTCAGCCACTTAAACACTTCAAATGCAGTAATGATCTTATGTAGACTGGGGAAAACTTACACATTCATAAAATTGGATTAAGCATGATATGAGGGGAAAGAGTTACAGATAAAGGGAAGGTATTGCATTAGAACATGTTCAACTAAAACTTAAGTCTGGGTTAGTACATGAATACAAAGATGATCATGCTTCTTTTTACAAGTTATCACTTAACTAGGGCAGAGTAACTAGGTCCTCCTAAAAGATAAGATGCATTCCAGCTTTTCAAAGATGAATTATAACCCTAAAGATAGGAGATAGGAGATATGATACCAAGTAAGCATGTTGTTGAGGATGTTGACTAATCAAGAAAACAGTTAAGTTTAGTCTAACCAATTATCAGTCTTTATAACAAAGAGAAAGAAATAGGATAATGATCACATTATGAGGAAAGATAAGTTAGCCTTAATATATGTGTACAATAGGATTACTGGGAGAAGAGAGGAGAGGTTTAGTTCAAACAATATTAGGACAACAGAAACAACAAGCAAAATGAAAGACCACAGTGGTAACTCAGAAACAGTCTAACAAATATAAGTAGGGAAGATAACATATAAACACTTAGAGTTCCTACTTGAGGTTTAAAGGATAGAGGATATAAACTTGACACCTTCAGATTAATTCAATCATGATTATCCGATAATAAGTTCAACTTCAAAAACTCACAAACTACAGAGATGCAACATGCAAGGATAAAGGTTATTGAAGGCCAATAAAAAGCTATGAGGTTCATTTGAACATGAACATATAATAACTTAAATATGTAGACTGTTGGGAACTCAGGAATAGAGATCAGCAAGAATCGATTAATGGTTTAATCAGTCATTGATCAAAGACTCAAAGCAAGAAAACTAATCACAAGCAGATATTAAGCTGGCAGAACATAAACACTAACATACTGAACACCATAAAATAATGGTAATACTCAGAACCTAACTAGCATGCT